CACGGGGGCGTTGAAGTTGTATCACGTGGTGGCCACACGGGGGCGCTGTAGTTGTATCACGTGGTGGCCACACGGTGGCGCTGGAGTTGTATCACGTGGTGGCCACACGGGGGCGCTGTAGTTGTATCACGTGGTGGCCACACGGTGGCGCTGGAGTTGTATCACGTGGTGGCCACACGGGGGCGCTGCAGTTGTATCACGTGGTGGCCACACGGTGGCGCTGGAGTTGTATCACGTGGTGGCCACACGGTGGCGCTGGAGTTGCATCACGTGGTGGCCACACGGTGGCGCTAGAGTTGTATCACGTGGTGGCCACACGGTGGCGCTGGAGTTGTATCACGTGGTGGCCACACGGTGGCGCTGGCAGTTGTATCACGTGGTGGCCACACGGTGGCGCTGGAGTTGTATCACGTGTGGCCACACGGTGCGCGCTGGAGTTGTATCCACGTGGTGGCCCACGGTGGCGCTGGAGTTGTCACGTGGTGGCAACACGGTGGCGTGCAGTTGTATCACGTAGGTGGCCACACGGGGGCGTTGGAAGTTGTATCACGTGGTGGCCACACGGGGGGCGCTGTAGTTGTATCACGTGTGGCCACACGGTGGCGCTAGAGTTGTATCACGTGGTGCCACAAGGTGGCGCTGGAAGTGTACTCACGTGGTGGCCCCACACGCGTGGGCTGGAGTTGTATCACGGTGTGTGCCACACGGTGGCGCTGGAGTTGCATCACGTGGTGGCCACACGGTGCGCTGGAGTTGTATCACGTGGTGGCCACACGGTGGCGCTGGAGTTGTATCACGTGGTGGCCACACGGTGGGCGCTTCAGTTGTATCACGTGGTGGCCACACGGGGCGCTGCAGTTGTATCACGTGGTGGCCACACCGGGGGCGCTGAGTTGTATCACGTGGTGGCCACACGGTGGCGCTGCAGTTGTATCACGGTGGCCACACGGGGCGCTGCAGTTGTATCACGTGGTGGCCACACGGTGGCGCTGCAGTTGTATCACGTGGTGGCCACACGGGGCGCTGGGGGCAGTTGTATCACGTGGTGGCCACACGGGGCGCTGCAGTTGTATCACGTGGTGGCCACACGGGGGCGCTGCAGTTGTATCACGTGGTGGCCACACGGGGCGCTGCAGTTGTATCACGTGGTGGCCACACGGGGCGCTGCAGTTGTATCACGTGGTGGCCACACGGGGCGCTGCAGTTGTATCACGTGGTGGCCACACGGGGGCGCTGGAGTTGTATCACGTGGTGGCCACACGGGGCGCTGCAGTTGTATCACGTGGTGGCCACACGGGGCGCTGCAGTTGTATCACGTGGTGGCCACACGGGGCGCTGCAGTTGTATCACGTGGTGGCCACACGGGGGCGCTGCAGTTGTATCACGTGGTGGCCACACGGGGCGCTGC